CCTAATATCATGGATGCTAGTTATAATAATCGCAGGAGTGCCTATATAAGTAAACTTAATAATAAGGATATTAAACAGCCCAAGGAAGAAACGATGAAATATTATAATGTTGTATATGATGGAGATTAGAATGTTTATTTTTAAACCATTCAGGAAGAAAGTATTTAAAGAAATAGCGACTATATATATATATATTATATTAAGTGTGAAAATGGGATTGTTTAAGTTAGAGGAGACTTGCTATGTGTGTAAATGTCATAGGAATAGAAAGGCTGTGTTGTCAAATTTGGTTTTTGATGCTAGTGTTGTTAATAATATTCTGCCTTATCTGAGTTGTTATAACTGTTCTAAAATGATGAAGTGCGAGTTAGAATACGAAAAGGAAGAATATAAAGAATATAATAGAGAGGCAAAGTTGTTTCATTTTATCTACAATCATCTAGACACCACATACAATAAACTAACAATATTGAAGGATAAGAAAACCTATATGAAAGAATTAATCAGGAATTCGGAAAGTGCTAAAAAAGGGATGCTGGCAAAGTTTGTTAATGATACTTGTTATTTGAAAGGATTTGATGAATACAAACAGTGGTTTTCTGAAGCATGTCCTACTAAGGGGTATTCTATTCTTGATGAATCTGACCTAGAAGATGAGTTTTTTATTATAGAAATGATAGAATGCCTTTCTATGATGGTTTAAAAAACCTGTTCTATATATACATAAAACATCATGCTAGAGGATATAAAAAGCACTTTGACAATATTGATGTTATAGCGTGGGTGCTACGTCTTTTTTTAGGTAAAGCAACCATAATATTATTTAATAAATAATATTATCGTTGAAACCAACACAAACAGAATCTTGTATCATCTACTTTCCAAGCCCCGAATCACCCAAAAGCCCATAAATTGAAAAAACCTGGCCACGCCTGTTGGGAAGATGGTTTTTAGAACTCCCTATTTGATTAGGCTTATTTAAAATAGGTGTAAAAGCGTAGGGGGGGTACGGGTGGGACCATCTTCCCAAGGGGCATGACCCTTGCTAACTGAGTTTGGAGGGACGGTTTCAAGGCGGAATCACTGTTGCATACCACAGCCTTGGCTTCCATGAGCCTCCCGTCCCACAGGGAAGCCTCCAACGCGACAAGCCAAGCTCGAATGCCAAACCATCACAGCGAAAAGCAAGCGCTGAAAGTCCAACCGGATCCCCACCCGTCCAACACGTCGAAAGGACGGGAATCTTTCCTCCCTCTGTGCCCAAAGAGTTTCAATCGAGCGACCTTGAGAGGCCCGGCACAACGTCGAGGAGCTGCGGCGGGAAATCGCTGCAGAGGCCAGCACACGTCATGGTCGTGGTCTCGACGTGTTCGCCGCACTCGATATGAATCGTGTCTTCTTCCGAAGCCAGGGGGAGCAACATCTGGGGTGATGAGGCTGCAGATGATCTTGCTGATGGTAGTAGTGATGGAAGATGGTGTGGAGATCGCCATGGCAACCCTTAGCGAGATTGTTGTGTTCGTAGAGCGCGCACGGCGCCAAGCGCGACGAACCCCGAACACCAAGACTTCATTGCAGGAGCAGTAGTGATGAAGAAGGGCTACAATGCTCCTCAGCAACAGCATGAGCTTGGGACTTGCGAAGGCATGTGACTCTGTTGAAGGTCACGATGCGTAGACGATGCGTAGTCATGGTGAGACTCAGATAGTGGTCGTGTCGGCTTGTACAAATCGTGCTGATGGCTCTGATGGTGATAATGGTCGTAGTGATCAAGTGCCGCTCGACTTCTCGGCCTCTTGGCCAGATCATGCGGCGCATCATCACTGCTACAAACAGTCTGGATGATTGTCATTCTAATGATGGTCGGCAGCATCATTTCATCCTCACGAAGTTCACGTTTGGTATTGTGGCCTGTGGTGGCGACGATGATTGCGTCTAGAGTGTATGGCACTTGAGCAGCAAGAGAGCCGATGACAACATCACTACCAGTTTGAGCCATTGTCTGCAAGATCTCGCGATACCTCCTTTTGCTTGCAGGAGAAGGCCCTGGCAGAGGAGCACAAGACGATTCTGACGGAGGCCACATTGACATGAGCAAAGCTTCTGCGAGACATGCAGCGACGATGATTGTCCTCGGGTCGGGGTCGCGGCATCATTGCGATCGCCTTGATCTCTCAACTTCGAAGTGTGATCGAGACCCGATGACTGATGGATACAAGAGACATAACAATCGCAGCTGCCGAAGGTGCCGGTACTTTTGCTCGCACTCGGGCTGCCCAAAAGCCCGAAGGCTTAATTAGATTGACTCCACAACCTCAACGGCAAGAGCTCTGAGATGTACCGCCCAATCTGGAAGGCATCACGACGTGCCAAAGAGGACGAAGCGCTGAACGCCCAGGACATTGCGAGCCGCAGCATTGCTTCCGATGTTGCAGTTGCTTCTACGGTTGGGGTTGCTGTTATTGCTGCTGCTGCTGCTGCTGCTGCTGATGCTGCTGATGCTGCTGCTGATGCTGCCGCTTGCTGGTGCTGGTTCTGGTGCCGTTGTTGACGTCGTTGTCGTTGTTATCGTTGTTGTCGTTGTTCTTGTTGTTGTTGTTGTTGCTGCTGCTGCCGGTCGTCGTCCTCCTGGTCGTCCTTCTGATTTCGCTGTTCGCTCTAGTTCCCCGTGTTGCAATCCTTGTAACAGTTGTGTTCTACTCTCATCATGCTTCTGTTTCTCTTGATATTCTCGCTGCCTTCGTGATCAGCGTGGCTCCCGTTGAATCTCGTAGACCAGGAGCAGGCGTGGCTGAAGAAGGAGACGGCCTCCTTCCGAGCAAGGACGGCCGGAGCCGAAGTCGCCGCAGCGACCGTGGCCCTCCCGGGCGGTGCAGCGGAGGCCGGACTTTTTGTGGAGTTACCGCAGCTGAGGAAAACTTAAAATTGCCCTGGTCTTGCTGTGATGCTTCGTTGGAGGGTGGCTTTCCAGGATTCCTGGAACCGGACTCTGACACAAGTACTGGCACCTCTATAAGACTCTCCAGGGCGCCTGAACGGCAGAAGCGTTTCGGGGCGGAGGTTCCGAAGGCTTTGGGCAGAGTCTCCCTTCGACGATGAGGCTATGATGAGGATGAGCTGCTGATTATGAAGATGATGAAGATGATGATCGTGATGATAGGAGTTGTGGTGGCGAGGGTAGTGATGGTGATGGTGTTTCTTATGGTGATGGTGACGGCGGTGTTGGTGGTCGCAACGGGCGTCACCAAAACGAAGCAGCTTCGAACGAGGCGACCGCTGCTGCAGCGGCCGCTGCCGAAGAGGCAGCCACGAAAGAAGGAAGCTTGGCATGGTTTGTTTGCTTTGTATAACCCCGACAGTCTTTCCACATCCCATCGTTCTCATGCAGCACTGAGCACGTCATCTCTGGTTGATCCCAGATTGCAGGTCCTTTTTCTCCGGGCCGCGGCGCCCCACCCTCAAAAAGAGTCCCAGCAGTTCAAAGTTCAAGGTCTCAGCCCGCGCTCGGCCGCGGACTGCGGCGTTGATGCGGCATCTGCGGCGGCCGAGGCTCTGCCAGGGCCAGGGGGGTCCGGGGGAGCTGCGCTTTGTTTGCATGACTTTCTGACATTTTGGTACCGTGTTTTTAGCTCCTTCGGTCAGACCGCAGCCCGAAAGCTTGAACGTCCTTCAGGTGCTCATACCAATGGTCGCAGACTGTAAAAGAACTTGCTACCGGCATAATCACATTGCCGGGCTCATCGGAGACATGATAGAAGTGATTGCTGGATGCTAGTCTGCTGGTTCTGCCGTAATGTTCCAAAGACAGGGTGAATAGTTGTCGGGTCTTGGTCGCAGTCCGTTCGAACAGGAGCAACATGGAGCAACAACAGGGGTCTTATCACTAGTGGCGGGGTTAGGTAGAGCAGCAACAGCAGTTGCTCAGAATACGCGCTGTGGCTATCGTTTCCTTGTTATGCACAGGTGGTCGCAGCACGAATGGGTTTGGTCTTTTGTTTGATTGTTTGTTGCTTCCCCGTTGACCACTCCATGCTCTTTCCTGGTTGCAGCTGGCGGTGGCTACTAGTGGGGATAGTTTGAGAGGTCCACTAGGTTTTGGCTGCATTTTCCAGTGGATCTGAGGACTTGGCCCTGGTGCAGGGCCTTGGCACCGAAGGAGCCGCGGCATCAGCCGAGGAGGCGGTCATTGCAGTGCGCGCTGCCCAGGCAGGGTTCGAGACGGACGCGTGGTAGCGTCGCTCCCAAAACTATACGAAATTAAACAGGATGCAAGAGTTTGTGTTCCAGGGCGTGCGACAGCAACTGGAGGAAATCATGCTTGCCACGACGGGTCTGTACGGTTGACAGCAGTTTGGCCATCAAGCCTTCTTCCTGTTTCCCGCACAAGCGATCCATGCAGACACCTCAACCTCTCATCAAGGCCATGACCATGCCTGGAAGCTTGCTGCCGTAAACTAAGTATCACAAGGACTCAGCAGGTTTCGGGTTTAGCTCGTGCTTCAAGCAAAGCATGCAGGCCGAGAGCTCTGCAACTGAGCGGCGTGCTCGCGTGGAGCAGCGGCTGCGGCGACACAAGGAGGCCGACAAATGGTCCTTCTTGTCTGCAATGTAGCGTTCAGTCGCGAGTTCTTGCAGTCTGGTGTTGATTCCGGTCATTGTCGAAGCCAATGATGGTGAAGAACAAGAAGATGATGATGGTGATGGCCATCATGATGATGATGATGATGATGATGTTGGTGATGGTGATGGTGATGGTGATGAGTGACGATGATGACTACATACTGATCAAGAACCTGCGCACGGCTATGCTGGCATTGCATGTCCTGCGACGTGGTGATGTCTCCAAGAACCCTCAGGGATGATCATGCATCAATCATCATCGATCCCAAATGCTCCGGAATGTGCTCGCCTTGTTCATATGTCTGCTGTGAATCTATACTCTGACGGTGCAGCGTCGAGCGGAGAGTCGTGCGCAGCCCGTGACTCGAGGTTCTTGAAGCATGACATCTGAACCTGGCCTGCAGGCCGCAGATCTGAAGCATCAAGTCAAGGAAGCCCTGGCCAACAAAGAAAGGCCTGTCTTGGTTTCCTTTCACATGTTGGCTTTGTGAGGTTACGGTTTGCAGAAGTGGTCTTGCCCAGTGGGCAGGGGATTGCACGTATGGTAGGTGCCAGCCTGCTACGCTGTTTTGAGTAGTCATCCACCCGGCAATCGTGGAGAGGGCAGCATAGGGTTTAGTTGATCGCGCTGACACCGAAGAACTCGAGCAAGCCTCGCGGCGGTTATTCAAAGTATCCCAAAACCAGCTTTCATCAGCATTTGGACTTGGGTGCCCCCGAACCTGTAGGCCTTAAACCTGCATGATCGTGTTCACCAGGCTAACCCTCGAGAAGATCGGCCTGGAAGTGGAGCTCGAGTCGCAGCAAAAGCGCTGCGAGCAGGACTGGTCCCGTGAGAGAACATGTTTCGGAGAGCATGATAGTGATGACGGTGAGGACGTTGAGGTGATGGTACAAATTATGAGGATTGTGATGGTGACGAGGAGGATGATGACCACGTTGTCGTTGGTGTTGTTGTTGATGATGACGGCGATGTCGACCACGACTGCCACCGTCGTCATCATCGTCATCACCAACGTCTTCACGCTAAGCATGAAAACCTCATGAAGATAGTTCCGGTCGTAGTGCTTGGAGAAGTGGAGCTCCACAGGCAGCGAAGCCTCCGAGCCTCCAGGAGCGCCTGGAGCTGAAGCGCCATGGGATGTCCCAGCCCGATGAGATCGATCTCAGCTGTCCCAACCTCGGATCAGGGAGCCGCGCTTAGGCTACGGTCCATACTAGCCATACTCGTATCTTTCTTCCAGGCCTGCGTGCCGAGCTCGCGGCGCGGAAGGAGCTGGCAGAGGGCGCGCTCGCAGAGAGTCCCTCGGAGCTGACATGCGGAGGGGACGGGGCCAGGGCCTTCTAAGCTTTGGGGATCTCTGAAACCGGGTAACAGAATTCAAAGCTCAGTAATTCAAAGCTCAGGGTTCGGTGGAGATCCACCATTACAACGAATCCGCTAGAACTTTGGATCCTTGAGGCTAGCCATGACTGTCACGAGTATCATGATTCTAATCTTTGGTTCTCTATTTCTTCTTTTGTGTGGAGCGATATTCTTGTTATGAGTACCATTACTGTTACCGTTACCACCACGACTACGACTATTATTACTCCTCCTCCTCCTCCTCCTGCTGCTACTGCTGCTGCTGCTACTCCGCTCCTACTCCGACTCCTCCTGCTCCTCCTCCTGCTACTGCTGCTGCTGCTGCTACTCCGCTCCTGCTCCGACACTTACTCCTGCTCCTCCTGCTCCTGCTACTGCTGCTGCTGCAACTAACTCTCCTCCTCCTGCGGCTGCTAGATTGGGGCGGCGGTCGTAGCAAGCTCTCGTAAGACGAGCGGCCACCACGAGCTTCTGGCCTTGCTTCGGGATGCAGGAGACTTGTCGGAAGATGCCTGAACTTTCCCGAGGCCGGCGCAAGATCGCCGAGGCCGAGGCGTCTTTGAGCGCCGCCTCGGAGGTGGGGTCTTGTTTGTTTTGCCGAAATTCCTATCCTCATCCCTGCAGCCCAAAGCCCCGCCTCACCAGGCTATTCAGAACCTCAGACCCGGCTTCCCGACTAAAGCTTCAGCCAAGGATTAAACCTCCGCATCACGTCTGTCTCTAGCAGCAGCGGCAGTGGAGCCGTCGTCGTCGTAGGAAGCAGTCGCAGTAAATGCGCCCGCAGCCGCAAAGGCTGCTGCCGAGCACCGTGCTGCAGCTGCTGACCGCAGGAAGGCCAACCCTCTCCAGGGTCCAAACACGCGCAGGATTCATACTCTGCTATTCTTTGTTTTTGCTATCCCAAACCCTAAACTCCGGAAGCCTAACTCAGATCCTAAAGACTCTGCTCTTCTTTGTTGTTGCTATATCCTAAACCCTATAAACCCTAAAGAACCCTAGGCCCTAAACTTCCACCATGGTGGATTCTGGACGTTAGCGAGCTAGTAGAAGGAAAAAGGCGTTCAACAAAACAAAACAGATCCTAAAGACTCTTTACCAGCTCTTGAGTCCTCCCGGCGTGGAGGCCTTTGAGCTCCTGGGCCGCCCTTCCGAGGCTCTCCCTCAAAGCCGAAAGTTTGGTGCCGGGAAGTTGGAACTAAGAGAAAGAAGCTGAGTTGAGTCAGATTCGTAGTTCATCGGGTTGAGGCAAGAACTGCAATAACCACAGTGTATCACAGCATGTCGGGCGGTATTTTTCGGGCCGGAGGGATGAATTTCGACGCAGGCGTCTGTTCCTCTGGCAACCATAGGTGCACAGGCAAATGCCGGCTAAGCGGCAGGTTCCTGAGCCCATGAGCGTCCTGGAAGAAGCTCGCGCAGCTAGGCCCAGCTCTGTACGGCTTTGTGCTCTGAGTGGGCCTTAATAAAAACCTATATTATTTCGGCGGCTTTTATTACAATTTTAGTATCATGGGCCCCCCAATCTTATTCTAATTATTCAGATTGCAGGTCTGAGTGGGCATTACGTGCCTGCGTGCATTCCTTCGATGGTAGAGCAGTCCTCACAAGCAGGCTAGTGGCTGCCGAGAGCCTTGAAGCCGTCCGTGAAGAGGCCCGGGCCAACATGTTTGTACATGTTTTCGCATGTTCCGATCTGGTGACGATGGGCCTGGCTGAATAACGAGGAATGCAATACGACTCTGATCATGTTTGGTGTTGTCTGCCACTATGCTTGCAAGTGTTCGGAATCTGTGCAGCCCTATGAGCCCAAGCTCATCGCCCTAATTTGTGGAATTCTATTCCCAACCGAGGTCGAGCGCAAAGCCCAGCAACTTGGTGGCGGGTTCCGGAAGTCTTGGACAAACTCAATTTCGGAGTTCTCTTAAGCGGAGCATAGTTAACGCATGTAAACCCTTGCACACCACACGACTGCCAGACCAAATCCACTTTGGGTACTTTAGCTGATCGGAGCACATGTGACCATAGAACCCTGATTCATTTGACGGGCTTGGCGCCGAGCTCAACGGCCACGCGGCAAAAAAGAGTGAAGCTTCTCCCGACAACCGAAGCTTCCCCCCCTGGTTTTAAAGTTTGTTTTCGAAGGAGACTTTCAGAAAAAAGGAACCCCGATACATACCTGAATGGCTGGCTCCTTGTATGACAGGGAAAGTTAGCGAAGATTCGTAATTCATTTGACATTTCCAAGTCACGAGACTTGACCCTTAAGCAGCCCTTTCTACAGAACTTGTCAAAACCCTCAAAGCCTTAAACCTTCATAGCTTCACACTTCTAGAACCCTTAACTAAAGCCCCTGTAAGAACCCCAAGCCCTATAGAAGCCCTTCTACATCTCCAAAAAGCAAAGGTACGAGGAGGACCTGGCTGCACCCGCCTCCATCGGACCCTCCGTTGTGGCGGACAGCGAGGTTTCGGAGGCCAGGCTTTCCCTGAAGGGTGCGCTTGAGTTACTTCTTTGGCTCAGGAGTTTTCTGAAGAGCTGTAGTTGTCTCCAAAGCTAGACTTCTTCGCTTCACAAGTAAGTGCAATTAAGCTCGGTGTTCCGCTGACGGAGCGTCGTTCCCAAGTCCTTGGACTGCGCAGGACATCCTCCGCTTCGACTTCGCCTTGGATGGAGAGGCGCTGAAACGAAGCCGCGTTTTCAGGCATAAAGGGCTTGAGCCCTGGGTCCCATGCGGCTCCAGGCTCTGCTGAGGGTAGGTCGAGTACCTAGTGCGAAGGGCAACTTGCATAGGCTGTGAGGAGCATGACGGTGTAACGCATGCCGAGGGCTCTGAAGTCGGACTTCACCGCCAAAAGCATCAACTCAGCCTCAGCACAGCTAGAAGCCTGCAGAAGCTTCTTGGCAGCCGCAGGTTTTGCAGCCGAAGGTCATTTTCCCACCTGAGGCGGCTCAGTTTTTCGCGATTTGCGGTTCTGGGCTGAAGACTCGCGTGTATGAGTGTATGATGGAGAGTTGTTGGGCCTATAAGGGCCCAGAGAACCATCGCTCCTATGTCAATGTCTCTTGGAAGCCTCGCTCGTGGACTTTGTTTGCAAGTCGCGGGACGTTTAGGGGGTTTGAGTTCGGAATTTATGGTTCAGTGCCTAGAGGGTTCTCTTGTACAGACCGTAGGAGAGCCAGATAAAGCCAGTCTATGCATTGAGAAGCACTTCTGACACCGTGATTGCTAGTTGGCTTCTCTATTTTGACCCTTCTTGCAGCTCGGCCGCTTGTATAAGAGGCACAGCAACTGCGAAGATAGTCATGGCATGCTCCACAGGCTCTGGCCCAAACCCCACTGTAAATACAACTTGGCCCGCGCCGAGAACTTTAACCCTGTCCTGCCGAAGTAGAGGCGAGCCACATTTGCATACCCAAAAGCTACTTCACCAGCAAAGCGGGGCAAACCCATTCAAAACAAGATGTATTTATGCACAGGCATACCCCTGTATAAACCGACCAGAATGCTACGCACAGTGTAGATAGCATGGTTATATACGAGCATCTGACAATGTGCGTGTATGTGTGTATGTCTGCATATGCCAGTGCCGATTGCATGTCGCGGGATCCCAGTGCAGGCGGCCGGGACTTCGGGCCGCCTCCTGGAACTCCTCGACGAAGCCGAGGTGGAGGGAGGGTGTTTTAGTTCTAGGACGGCTTGGGGCTTGTGGGGGTTAGGTTTCACTTCTGGTGGAGTCTAGGGTTTAGGCCTCAGAGTCTGGCCTTGGCATGTTTCCAGAGTCTGTTGATTTTGTGGGAGGCCAGGAGGGTTTTTGAAGGTTTGCTACTGGCAGGTGGTTTCGGGTTGAGTTTAGCTTTCCTCACTGTTGACGTTTTGCGGTGGGCATCTTGGATTGTGGACACAGGAGTGCTCTTCGGGGCTGGTTTACGGTTGGCTTTGAGGGGCTGTGCGGGATGTAATTCGTGCTTAGGGTTTCGTGGGCAACCTGGCGGGCAGATCAGAGAGTGAACAGATCCTGGAACAGGACACTAAGAATGAAGGACATGAAGATTGCTGGTTAACGGATCTTGAGGCTGTGCCTGATCCCCACAAGGCCCAAAACCCTTAAAGAGCCACACAAGCAGTAGCTCAGGTACAAGGTTTCGATGTGGCCTTTCGCTGTAATGCAGCTCCCGATGTTCTTTCGTAGTAGCTGTTGACTTGCCGCGGCCTTCGGGCAGGAGCTCGAAACTCGAAACCTGCTGCTGACTCAAGAGAGCCTCGGCAGCCGAGCAACGCTCCTTCCGTTTGCCCTCGTTTCGCAGTGCTGCTATGGTTTCGGGTTCAAGGAGCAAGAAGGTGTCCACACTAAAGGCTCCAGGGGCTCTCAAGGCCTTCAACACAGCTTTTTCGCCCAAGGAAGCGGGAGTTGAGCATCCGCCTCTCTGCGGCGCAGTTCGCTCTCCGGCGCTGCGAGAGCCGATCCAAATCGAGATCCCAGGCGCACGGCCTGCGGTCTGCGATGAATGGGGCGGTGCTTGGTGTAAGTCCACCCACAACCGATGGCAACAGCAGCAAAAGCTGTGACATGCATGTGGCACAGGTGCCAAAGACGCATCGCAAGGGCTGCCCCTTCTGTGAGCACTGCCAGCGTGAGACGTGACCCAAGTGCAGGGGAAAATGAATCAGGTTGATCCTTCGGCTGCAAGTCCTTACAACCCTGACCCTACTTCCGTGCTTGATTGTTTAGGCGGCTATCAGTGAATCGTCAAAGGCACGCAGCAGATCAACTTGAATGATTTAGCATGCGGAAACGCCACTGTACATAGCTGGCCGAGGCTTCCGGATGTACCCAGACCCGAAGCACGCTTCGGATCAGTCGCTGCGGTTTTCGTTTCAGAGTCAGCCTCATCTGAGCCCTGAAACCCGTCGTCGATGAACTGCTTCCGCCGTCGTCGGAGCACAGAGATCACGTGCGTTCACGGCCTACGCCCAGTGGTGTACATTGCTTTCGCGAGAGCGAGGTTATGAACGACCTTAGGTGGTGCCAGGTCCATAACCGTAAGACTCAGGCCCTAGAGAACCTCAACTGCATCTGCCGCGCGATCAGAGCGCGAGCCCTCAATACCTTTTCCTGGACCCTGGGTACATCGAAGTCCCACCTGAGGACGGCCCGCCCTTCCCAGAATGTCAGCAGGCGCTCGGTCCCAAAAGATCCACGGAAAGTTTGCAGGGCGGAGAGATGGAGCCGCAATTCGAGATGTACGCTAGAAGAGCGAGTATTTATTGAAAAATATGAACAGAGGCAATGCCGTGGTTTGTGCAGCGATGGCTCAATCATGAGGGTACGGCAATGTTTGGTGGGGCCTGTGTTCTTCTGGGGTTCCAGGAAACCTAAGCCTATGCTCATTCACCGTCTGCGGCGAGCAGAAAGAAAGAGTGGTGGATTATTGGGAGAGCCCACAGCAGGTTGCAGGTACTGACGGAGCGAGCACTTGTGCTGCGTGCGGGGCTGTCATGCCCATGTGTTTTCTTCTGGGGAGTGTGTGATTTAGCACGGGGGGGGGGACTTCCGTGGTTCGGTAGCCGCCTCTCGATGCTCCTCGCAGTTTTTTGTTTCAAGCATGAGGATGAAGTTTTCATGTCGCTGTCTTAACCAGGCATTTGCTCGGCAAACGCGAAACGGCAGGCAAAGGCTGAAAGGCTTTGCGGGTCTGGCAAATGCGGAATGCTAGGACTCAGAGCATCCCAAGAGCATCCCACAAGCCTCCAGCCTGGTTTGTCTTGGTGTTTCCGTGTGTTGCATGACGTCATCAAGTCCGCAGGACTGCAGCCCGGTGTGTGGTTGCCGCAAAATGTAGTGTGACCTCTTGATGTTACTTTTCCGGAGAGGTCGGCTCTTGCGAGGTGCAGGAGGGCGGTTTTGAGTGCTGAGGTCTGCTGTCCACATCGCAGAGAGTCGTTCTGCCCCCTGCTCGCTTGCTTGCTGGACCTTGCCGGGCGGACAGGAGGAACCTGTGTCCCTCCGGCGGCTGCGCGAGTCCCTGTCGCCGCTCCTGCCGATTTTGAGATTCACGCTGCACGCCCGGCACCCGGCGATCTTCAGCTCCTGCTCCGCCTCGGCGCCAGGCACTTGGAGCGTCTGGAGCGTCAGCGGCAGACGCTTGGATCTCAGCGGTTAGAGCAAGAGTGGGGGGGTGGAAAGTGCTCTTGAAACAGCGTCATTGATTGAAGGGGGGGTGTTGGAAGGTCGCAGAGTCACATGACGGACGTCACAACCTACATGTTCGATGAAGTCTCGTGCGACAAGCTGTCTGACGGTTCGTTCGAGTTCCTGAAGTTCACAAGTTCGACGGTTCAGATCCAGGGAGGCTCATATGGAACACTACAACCCCTGTCAAAGAGAGGGCATCCGTTGGCGTTGACTTCGGGACAAATGGAGCTGATGCCAGAGGCTGCGTGACCGCTTCGAGTCCCATCCGGGAGGTGCCTCAGATGCTGAGTTGATTCTGCCGAGCTTGCAGTGGAAAGTGGCAGAGAGCTCGTCCACGTGGGACTTCTGTTGGAGCTGTGAGTTGGGTTTATTGTGAAAAGGATGTAGGCCAACAAGATGCAGTTACTTTGGCCTGGCGGCTGGAAAGCTGCATCACTGTATGTGTATGTGCAAGATTTGATCTTCTTTGACTGCAGATTCTGCAATGCCAGCCCTGCACCCAACTTGTCGTAGATTCTCGTAGATCCTTCAGCAACCTTAGCTCAACCTCATGAGGCCTACTGCTGATGCTCTGCCAAATTTGATTCCCTGATCCTGCAGAATCAGTTCGGAGCAGCGACCCCTGTTTCGAATCGACGGAGGCATGCTGAGAGATTGACCCTGCGGGCCCTGCTGTCAGGAACCGAGAAGGGCCTTGAGGGCAAGTACCGCACGCAACTGTCTCCGCCCAGGAGCCGTGGCGAGCATTTGGATACTGAGTAGCTGAGTGCATACACTTTACCCTTTTCGGGATAATACTACCCACTATAAAACTGAAAGTGCACACTTTTTGGGGCTTATGACCTCAGCAACTAGGGATAAGTGAATCTCAGAATCTCCTTAGACCAGTGCACAGCTTACACTGTGGGCATGTGCTTTGCAGGAGAAGGTCCGAGTCTCCACCGCCGCGCGGACGTGCCGTGCCAAGTGGTTTCGATTCGCTGGAGGGCACTTCACAGTGTCATGAGCAACCCGCACTCGGCATTCAACCTAGCAGTGTAGCAGTGCTGGTCGGATCACTTAGTTGAGGTAGCACATTCCTTGCCACTGCTTCATGGCTCTCAGCTTAGGATTTTGCAGCCCCATCACACAGTACGAAAGCCGCATTTCGGTCACCATGGACTTCATCGCCTGCTTTACGAACCGTGCGTTAAGGAGCTCTGAGTCTGGGTTTCCGGTTTCCTGTGCCTGCAGTGATTGCCGAGCAGCAACACCTGCCAGTCGCTACGCGCAGCAGCAAACCCGCCTATAAGGGTCTTGGTGAAGTTCGTATCGAAAGCTCTAGCATCCATGGCTCTCGGGGCAACAGATTCTCCCTTCCTTTCGTTCTAGATTCTAGCACTCGAGCCGTGCCATCGGCCCTGGTGACAGCTGACCATGGTGTGGCTCGTTGAAAGCTGGCGGGACTTGAGGGGCCTGAACACCTTCAATAGGTGCCGAGCTCTAGAAAGGGAGATCAGCTAAAAGCCCCCTGTAGTGAATCATCACAAAAACCGGCGCTGCATGCTGCACTTTTCTTGGTAATGGTAGGTCGCCGCTGACACCGACATAGACAGGTAAGACGTGTAACTTCCCTGCGGATCTGCTTGGACAGAGACCTATGAAATCACGTGCGCGAGAACAGACATGAAGTCAATGAAAGCAGCTCTGCACTGCCGAAAACAAGCGAAAATAAGATCTTTCGGCGGGTCTTGGCCAGGGACAGTTTTGAACTAACGTGCCGATATGCACAGCGCCAGAGCTCGTAGCAAAGGCACATTTTCAGCAAGTCACGGGTACGGTCCAGACAACTACCCGAACATAGGCTACCACGCCTCGCTACCCTTCTTAAGCGAAGTTGGGTTCCTTCGTGCTTCAGTGGCCCCTAAACTAACACGAGTTAAAATCCCAGGCAGACCACTTTCCTGGGTGGCATGGCCAACTCGAAGTCGTCCATCGCCTCCTCGTCACTCAGCTGAGTCCTTCGGAGCCTTTCGGGCATTCCGATTTTGCAGGATTGTCGGTAACGGTAAGGCCTGGGGCTGTCGAGCTCCAATATCTCTCGGTGCCCCAAGGCTTAAGTCAGGCTTTCCTCTAACTGCAGGCGCACATCCCAAAACTGCCCGAGCCACGAAGCTGTGATGGTGGTACCCCGGCCCATCCTGGCCCGAAGCGTCATGAAGCCCCATGCCCTCATCTGATCTCTCTCCCTACACTGAGGCTCCACGATACTATGCCTTCATCCGCCCAAGGCCAGATGACTAGTTTCAGAGTCAGGATGTGTGGATTTGGGTTCGGGGCTGGCGTCTTCAGGGATTCGGGGGTAGGTGCGTGGAAAAGCGAGAACTCGATTTCTGAAGATGCTGCATGTGTTTCGGTCTTCTCTTCTCATGTATACATATACATATATATATATATATATATATACAAACACCTACACTACCCACACTTCCGCCTGCACAGGTACGGTGGAAGATGGACGCACACAGTCGGCATATAGATGTCCATGCCATGCTCCATGTTTCACAGTCAGCACACAAGAAATTTCATCTATGCATGCACCTGCGAGGTGCCGACATGATCTCCGACTCGATTTCAGGGGGGTGGGGGACAAAAGCTACAATTTCGATCCCGCCAGGCTTCGCTGCAACACACAAAAAAGCGCTGAAGGACAAGAAGTTCAACTCCAAGGAGCGTTTTGTGGCTTGGGAAGTGCACGAGAAGTTTCTGCCGTTTCTTCGGACATAAAGCCCCTGTGTAAGGACCTCACTTCAATGATTTCTCGGCAATTTTAGCCTGCTTCACTGCCAGTCTTCGTGTGGGATTGGGCCAACCACTAGGGCCACCAGCTGGCTGGGTCCCTGGGTAGCTTGGATGGAAGAGGACCGTTGATCCGATCATGCCAGGACTTGCAGGATTTCTCCCGCTACCGCTGGCGGCGCGGCTGAGTGTTTGGTGCCGAACGTTCCCGACCCTTTGCACCCTTTTCCTGTTGATCACGATCATGATGCTGGCCCACTGATATTGGCTGTTCACACAATCATTCCTCATCTTGTTGTGATCGTGACACGGTCATGGTCAGTTTTTGATGTGTCTTTCTGCTGTTGCCATGCTTGCGCTAGTTGCCTGTTCGTATTGCCTGTCAGTTTTTTCGCAAGGTTTCAGTGGCAGCCGGCCATTCATATGCCATATGCATTCAAACAGGCAGCCCATGGCTGCATCCACAGCCAAGGAGAATCGTCAGGTTAAGCGCACGCTGCCCGGACTGCCCACCGAGGCGATTATACAGCCTGGTGATCTCAACTCCATGGGAGTTTTGGCGATGACAAGAAGCTTCGGATCTTGTTCTGCTTGTCCCAGTACTTCTTCTGTCTTGGCCTTTCAACTGGACCCTCTGAACTAGAACGATGCCTGCATACCCTAAACCTAAAACGCGCAAAAGTCACGGTCAAGCCTTGTGCCGTTGACCCATTTAAAGCCTTCGATCCAAAGCCTGATGGGATGTCTCTCTTACGAGCTTCTGTTCAGCTTCATCTCTTCAGCTAGGGCCTAGGGCCTAGGGAGGTCCAGGCTTTGGAAGCAGGCTTCTTGCTTACGTGCCGCACAGGATTTCATGAGGCCTCCGGTGTCTTCCGCCAAGGAGATGTTGGTCAGCTTTATAATCTGCTGCAACTTCATCATCATCATCTTCGAAGCCAACGCCGGCGTCGCATGCGGCGACAGTGTGATTGGCAACTAGCTGGCAAGCTTCAATTTCTGAGGCCTTCAGTCTCGTCATGCAAAGGCAAAGGAAACGAAGCATGCTGAAGGTAGTAGTCCATCGCCGGACTGTCTGCAGGGTCTTGACCACGGGCCAGCGAGCTCGCCAGATAAGAAAAACTGCCCGTGCGTTTTCGAATATCCCAGGATGCATGCCAGTGTGGCTGAGCATCTGCAACTACATCTTCGTTGGGTTCTACACGGTCGAAAGCTGCGCTGCTCGATGCATAGCCGCCGCCTAATACAAATCCGAATTGCTATGACGTTGCACTGGTTCCTTCCTAATTTCTGAGATTGCAGTAAGGATCCAGACATCCGTGCTTGGGAGCATGCATGGTAGAAGCACTGGAGTCTACGAGCATAGGGCTTCGAACAGTACTCGCATAATTGTTCGAGGTCCTGGCACGAGGAGGCATTGTGTTTCAACCGAATCCGAGCATATCTGCTTGTAGAAGCAGCAGGGTTTATTCAAAAGGAGGCACAAGGGAGACTCGGAATGCGTTTTCCCCTGCCTTCGTAGTGTCGTGACATGTGTTCAGGCGAATTCCAGCTGCACTGTTGCTGTCGTGCCTGATGTGCAACCCGCGTGACCTCGAGAAGGGATGTTGCATGGCACCGAGATCATGCTCTTCGTCTACCGGCGACGTATGTGCCGAGACTGGTGGATGATATTCGACATCATGATCGCGGCTTGACTTCCGGGGGAAGGTGCTTATCGACTCCTTGGTCCTTAAGCCTTAATCGTTTCCAGCATTGCTTCCCAAAAGCCCGGATCCCTTGCACCAGATCCTGTATGCTTCGTTGGGTGTCGCACACTCTTTCGCTGGGAATCGAGCCTTGTGCTGCAGATGCTCACATCCGGGAAGCTCAGGTGATTGTGGCCTGGGTCGATGTGATCGTCAGCACACTGGTGACGACGGCGGCTCGGAATGAAAAGATATCGGGAAAGCTTCGTACCTGTAAGCAGAGAAGATCGGCACGAGTAGTACGAGTAGCTTCCCCGTCGTTGAGAAAAAGCGGCACCAAGGCTGTACACCCAAAACAACTGCCCAAGAGCTCTTGACTTAAACCAAAGCTTCAAGTCCCATGTGAGGCTGGACTTCAGGAAGTCCAACTGTTGCGTCTCTTCCGCATCGCCCGACTTGCGCGAGCGGCCAGGACCTTCGGGCAGAATTAATGTACTTCCGAAGAAGTGTGCCATGTCAGTCAGAACTCAACACATCATGACTGTAGACTCTAAACCCAACCCTCAGTCTGAGAAGCTTCAATATAGCGCTTGCAGTGTGACACTCACTTTGAGCTGGAGCTTGACAGATGGAGATCTGTCTTGATCATGGTCTGGGTAGTGTCGATGATGCTCTTGCTGCTGCTGATAATGGTGGCGATGAAGATCATGGTGATGATGGCGACGAGATGAGGATGCTTGCATCTGATGATTGCACTCCTGACCATGATGGTCATCGCCGTTGCCGTCTTCTTCTTCATCCTCACCAGCATCACTGTCTTCATTATCAACCTCATCAGCACCATGATGAAATCATTGCCGCCATCATCATCATCATCATCATCACCATCATGAAAGTCATCGTCATCGTCATCATCATGTGTCTTGGTAGCTTCAGCTCCCGATGCTTCCGAGAGGGCCCATCCGAGCCCTGCTTTATCCAGAGCCCAACATCTTCCAAAACCCGTCACCTATGAAGCCGGCAGGATCGTCCACATGTCGCCCGAACTCCATGCCATGATCACCGGCATCATCAGCGCGCTGACCACCGTGTTCTGGGGGCCCTTCGACTTGTCTTAGGGCCGGGTGAAGGCTGCAAGGATCTCAGGGTTCGACTCAGGTTGATCATGGTGATGCTGCTTCTGGCAGTTTGGGCCGTGCTTGCGGTGGAGCTCCTGCGCCATGGACAATTTAGAGTATTGGCATTCCAGCGTTCGACTTGAGCAGGGGTCGCTTAGGGTTTGAAGCAGCGAGGACTTGGAGGCAATGCACTTACAACAAGCTGCGCGAAACCGCATTCATACTCCATGCGTAGCTCTCTATCCGCAAGCCAGAATGCTTAGTTTCATAGGTTTGCAACAGGTGGTGTGTTTCAAACGAAGGGGAAGGAAGCGGGCCATGCAGTGCTGGAGACAGGGTCTGGCTGCAGACGAGGATGAAGAAGATGATCATG